TCCTCCAAACCCCTATAAGCCCTCAGCCAGCAAGAGAGCCACTGTTGTGCTCCGGTGCCGGTAAAGCCAGTCCTCTGCTGTAGAGTCCCCCTATCTTCCGTTGTTTCCTAGTACTGCCCATACTGATTGTGTGAGTTCAAGGCCTTGGATCCAGGGACTGACTCTCTTTGTTACTAAGGGGGAACTGGCTCTGGGAAATTGGCTTTTGTGGGGGCACTCAGGAACCTGTAAGCCTGTATGACCACGAGCCAGGTGGATCTAGGTTTGAGTCCCGGCTCTGCTCTTACTGGATGTGACACTTGGGACAAATTACTTTTCCTTTACAAACCTCATTTTCTCCATCCCTATCTCCTGCATAGGGTTATTCAGATAAGATAATTTGTGTATGAAGCATTCGACATGATGTCTACCTAGTACATCATCAGTAAATGTTACTATCATTGAGATAGTTTCTCTGACATAATTTCAAAGCTGTGAATAGTGGACTTGGAACAGTAATTAGGCCCACGCTAAAAAATAACAGGAGAAAAAAGTCTCTACAGAAGGGTTGTTTTCCACTGTCTCCAAAATGTGACATACAAATTCTAAAGGAGGCTAGATCTCTTAGCTGTGGACCAGCTTTAGGGTCAAATGAACGACCGGTCAGTGCGCATCCCAGAGTAATGTAATTTTCCCAAATCTTACTTTCTCTTCTGTAGAACACTGACTCATGGGAAACCAATTGTGGTGGATCACCAACTGGTGGACAACTTGTTACAACCAGCTGAACTGAACTAGAATGGTGCTGGGGGTGGCAGGCCCACCTGAGGACTGCTGCTGGCAGGATGAGAGGCAGAACTAGAGAACCTGTCAGGAGGCTGTTAGGGACGCTGTGGGGGAAACTGTTGGAGGGTGTTAGGGAAGCTTTGTGGAAACTATTGGTGAGCTGTTGGAAGCTGCTGGTCCTCTTGGGCCATTCTGCTGAGGGACCTTGTCATGCTGGCTCTCCTGATGAACTTGGCTGTTCTTGTTCGAGGAGACCTTGTTGTTGCTGAGAATGGCTACATTTCACTTGGGGGGAATTCTGGCCCACAGTTTGAGCATCATTTCCTGGCTCGGGGGGAACGAAAATGCACTGCTCTGCCTCCTGCAGAAGCTTGTAAGGTTGGCTTTCCTGATGGGAACCTGGCTTTCCTCATCCTTGGAGAGGCTCAGGACCTCACTGAGAATGGCTGTGGTACCTCTCAGAGGACCTCTGTTCTTAGAGCGTCCCTTCCTGGCTCCAGTGCAGATCCCTCAGCCTGCTGGCACAGGTGCTTCACTCCACTTGTGCAGACTTTCCAGCACCCACCACTGACCTTTGGTTCTTCCCAGCGCAGATCTGTGAAGCAGGCCTGCCTGAAACACTGTCACGGGCTCTAGGTCTCCAGGTGGACTTGTGCAGGACATTACTGTGGGATCCAGGCCCTCAGCTGGATTCTTTAGTGGGTAGACATGTCCTGCACTCTTTTTTTATGTGACTCTTTCGGTGACTATTATAAATAATTTACTTACAAAGTATGTGTCTTGTACCCCTCACAAAGCCCCAAGCCACAATGCCAATGATTTTGATGGGGACTGTGTTGTCCCATCGATGCAGGCATAGAGCATCCCAATAACCGAAATCCCAAATCCTGCTCCCAGTGGCATTCAGCAGGTGACGTCTGTGTTTCTGTCACAAAGACTGCTGGGAGCATGAAAGCCACTTTTTATGAAGGTTTCATTTGAAATGAGCTGCAGCTACCTCAGACATGACACAGGCATATTCCTCAGCAGAGCAGACCCTGCTCCCATGAAGAGCAGCCTGATGAGCCACAGGGAATCATCCTGTCAGAGGCCGCAGGGAAATCTCTGTCAGCAAGGATTTAGCAGCAAAGGCTGAAGCTCCCTGGCTCCAGCAGTTCCATCTCAACTGATACTTGTCTCATCAAAGAGGCATATACGGGGGC